GATGGCACCTGACAACAACAACAAAAGGTCCCTACCCTTATGCTAAAGTAAGGCTGACTAAGAACTTTATGCACTTGTTCTGACTTAATGAAAATTCTACTTAAAGACACATGTGGGAACTGATCTCATTTGTAAAATGAGGACAGACGTATTAATTAAAGAAAAATAGGTAACAAAATGAGCATGATTATATTGCAAGCTTATTATAAATTTTTTTTACCGGTATTGTAATTTGTAGTTAATTTACAGAAAAAAGCTTAATATTATTCTCATGTTTAGTTGTCAACTTTTTATGGTTGTGTTTGCATAGGTGTTAAGTAGCCCTTGTTTTAGTGTTGATATAGTTTCATTGTTTTAGAAGTTAACTCTGATTAGAAGAAAGCCATTGCTTTTTTATTCCTTTATAAAGCGTTAGGACAGTACTTTGAGTAGACTATTTGAAAAATAATTCTGTACCAGTTAATTCAGCTGATACAGATTTAAAAAAAAATTTTTTGTTGTAAATGGAATAAATGTTTACAGAAAAGATCATCAGTTTTTCATTCATCACGTACTGTTTCGTCACAATGATTGCAATCTCTTCAATGCAACAACAGTTATCCCACTTCTTCCCTATGGTTCCAATCTGCATTGCACCCACTTTCCCATCCCTTCTCAACTTTGTCTCTAGGTAAATGTTGCCCTTTGATTTTGAATGATTGCATATCTTGTTAGTGTTGTTGTCCCTTCTGTATGCCTATCTTTTTCATGGCTGAAAATAGGGTCACGAGGTGAGTTCCTTTCCAGACTTGAAGGGTGGTCAAGGGCCATAGTCTTGGGTTCTTTCAGTTTCTTTCTGACCAGTAAGTCCAGCCTGTTTTTATAATTCTGTGTTTTGTTCCACATTTTCTACCATTCTAACCAGGACCTTCTAACGTAATCCTTTTCAGATCAGTTGGTACTGGTATCCAGGTACCGTCTAGTTCTTAGTTAGAGTGGTGAAGACTGATGTTCACATGTTCCATTAGTTCATTGGACTAATTGATTCCAAGCCTCTTCTATTCTTACCACTCTTCTTTCATTCGAACATGGAGAGACCAATAGCTGTACCTTAGATGACCGCTCATAAGCTTTTAAGATCCCAGATGATACTCACCAAAGTAGGATGTAGAACATTGTTTTTGTAGACTATGTTGTGCCACTTGGCCATGGTGTCTCCTAAGATTATGGTCTCTGACACAGATTTTTACCTACCTTTAGTATTAGTTTCAGTGAGAATATGTG